GTTGTCTCCCCTGTCATCACGCCCGCTGGGTGACGAATGGGCCGCCCCTGCGGTGGCGCCCGCCGTGAGCAGCTTTGACATCCGGAGAAGACGTGACGGCTAGACGACGCTGTCTTAATGGAATGCCCGGGCAGGAACCAGATCGCGCGCGTTTATTTCGATGCAGTAAAACGACGTACCCGCGGGGGCGGGACGAGCTGCTGACGTGCTGCACAGTAGTTCGGTGACTTTGGCGATGAAGTGAAGTTGGACTGTAGGTCTGTGTGTTGGCAAGCGAACCGAACAAAGCAGCAAGAAGCGTCTTAACATGAGCTGGCTCGGTCGTCTCGAGTCCGCGTCTTGCGAGAGGGCTGGCCATGGAACTGCAGCCCCGAGAGACAACATTTTGAAGAGAACGAAATTATTTAAAAAGAAAAAGAAAAGCACTCTTGTATTTCAATAGATATGCCCCAGAAGGGTTCGGGAGTACCGTAGTTTGGCGTTCCAACTGCCACCGAAGGTTGTCGCATTTCGAGGAGGGCTGAATACAGGTATACATGTTAATTTAAGTTCGCGCTAACTGAACGCGCAGGGGATCAAAATTAATGTGGAGTTCCCCACTACTGCGTGCATCGTAGTCATGTTTTGCCGCGTAAATCCCCGTAATCATTCTAAAAGACAGGGCATGCAAACGCAGACACAAGAAAGACATCATGACATCACATACGCTGTACTGAATACTTACCAACTTGCTCAACTACCTGTTATTTTAAAGCCCGTAATTTGTAACTTTTTGACTTTGGAAGGCAGTACCATCGGCTTCGACGGCGTTTGTTGTCACTGCTTTCTTACTTTCATGTAGAATTAACATAATCAGTTATTACGTATGTTATTTCGGCTTCAGTCACGATGTAAGAATAGGTTGCTTCAGTACAATCTTCAGTATATATTGCTTTATATCGACACTGCTCCTTCTCGTATTTATACATTACGTTCTTTCGTACTGCTCCCATTTGATGAACTGCATGCCTGTTTGTAAAGTTGTAGGAGATCCGTGTTCTTTTTCCTAAAGAGGGTTGGCTATAGTACCACCACTGGAAAAGCTGGCGCCAGCGTCAGTGCGAGGTGCTAGGCGGGTCACGTGATCACAGCAGCTACGCCGTTTGCTTGGGGGTGCCGAAGTGAGCTGAAAACTAAATTTTGGAGTGCCACCTGCGCTGCAATTCTGATAAAGAGAAGAGGTTTTCGCGCTTCAGTTGTGGGCTCAACGATACTTGTAAGCACTGCTACATGTAGTCGCTGACTTCGAAGGCGTCTTATGCGGTACGCCCCGGCTCGGTGCCGTAGCGCAGAACGTATGCAACGGAGCCCGGTGTCAGGCTTCACACTTGTCCGCTGGGTATACGTACCGTTATCGAACGTGTAGGTGGCGTTATGCTACATAGCGCACTAACGAGGCGTTTCCGATAGATGGCGATTCCGTAACTAACTCCTCGTCCCTATAATATATACTTGTAGGGCTAAAGTCCATGAAGTTTATTTTCCCTTGCTAATGGGCGGTGTAGTCGCCTTGTTAGAGTGTCTGCGTTTTGATGAAGGAGTGGAGTTCAGGACAATCAGTTGCCTTATTTCTTAAAAAAAAAACAATATTCACGCCCTGTTAAAATGATTTCAGTTCACGGCGCGCCGATTGCAGATGGCGTTACGTTGCGTATTGGGCCGGCCTGCCACATTTATGCAATTGCAGCCTTGCTTGCTTGTACGCGAGCCACAGCCCGGTGCCTTCATTGATGAGTTGACGTTATAACGACTTCCGTGTTACCGCGTCAGATGATAAAGGAGCACAGCCAGTCGTGAAGACGGAAGGCATTTGTCTGCTGACGTAAACTGGCGGACACGGCAGACGTCGTCTGGGTCAACGTGTCAGCAGCCAGAGATAAGACGCCGACTTTAATGGTGAGTTGCCATCCCGCCCACTCAGTTTTATTTTTCAGTCCATGCCACCTTGTTAACAAAAGTGCCCGGAGCGATGCTCTGTGAACCGGTATACATCCCGACCGCCGAACTGCTTTCGAGTTTTCACTCATATTTGGTGCCCGGGACTCGCTATGCCTGGAGCTACGTTGTTGTTTTTTTGTCTGGTTGCTCAAACGAATAGGCTATATAATATTGAAACCGCCAACGAAATTCACACGTCTCAGAACTTTAATTTATAGTAGACGGGCCACTGACGTGTTTTCTGAGTGTCTCGCTGCTTGCAGTTTGTTGCGGGCGCACAAAGCTAACGTTACTGAGGCATGCACGTTTTCGTCGTTGCTTAAATTTCTCACTCGCAATTTCAGCTTCGCCAAAAACACCTGCGCAAAGCTTTCGAAATTCCTGCATTTCTTTTTTTTCTTCACTCGTGTGCAACATCGCATTACGTTTAATTTCGCTTAGAGTTGAAAAATCTTCACACCTTTACTCCCCCACCCCCCTTCCCTGTTTTCCCAGCCGGTCTGCGAGTTTGGTTTCCCAGTATGGCAGACACGTGCATCGTTTCGCTTCTCGATTCTCGATAGAAGATGGCGGTTAACTTCGATTTTCTTTTTCCAGTGTGCGCCACGTGTGAACAGCGCACGTTGTTTGCATATTCGACGAGTATAGCAACTCGCTCTTTGAAGAGAAATCCACGACGCGCGCGTTCAACTGACCGACTTGCGGCCACCGTCTTCTCAGCCGGTCTAACTTCATTAGCATCGGACGAGCTGCAAGCCTGAACCGGACTCGAAGGTATACGCATTCTGCTGATTACATTTGGGCCGAACGCCGCTCTACTTTTCGGCTTGTTTGCTTCGCTTTCTTGCCTCCGCTCTGTTTCTCATCTTCTGCGCTTGCCCGTCCTGTCTCACCGACTCGGAAGTGGCCGCGGCCTTCTCCCGCTAATCGGCCTTCGAGTCCGCGCGGACTGCGGAGCGAGGCGTATTCATTAACGAATCACTACGCGCGGTCGCGCGCTGCTCGAGGCTGGCTCGCTCGTTCGGTCTGCCGCACCGATCTCGAGGAGGTATATACCCGCGCTGCGACGCGGAATAAACGGAGCCTTGGCGCGCGAGTGCTCGCACGCACGGAACCGTGTGCGCTGGGCCTTGGGCGGCATCGTTGGTGAAGCAATGGACGGTCGTCTAGATTCCAACCGCAGCGCTCTGCGTCGGCGTGTAATGACCGCCGGACACTGAGCACCTTGGGGCGGGGCGACGCATTGCCCGATGCAGCCACGTCGTACAAAGGTTGCGCTCAAACGCAACCGCAGACAGTGCTTTTGGGGCACGCTAAACGAGTACCTTTTTTTTGGTCAACCATCTGTACTCGGTTTGAAACGCATGCTTCAGCAGTCACCGAGTTTTTTTGTTAGAGGATGGAGGCATACATGGCAGCGGTGCAAGTTTTCTTGACTCGCCCTTTCCATGCTCTGAAAACATTTGCGATTACAATTACACGCATGCGCCACGAAATAAGCCGTCGTGGTGACCCTTGTTTTCGACTATCTTGTTTCGGGGGACATGCCCGGACTACATTCTTTTTTTTTCGCTGGTACATGTCCACCAATGAGTCACTGACGGACGTATCTCGTACACCTCCTGAGATGAATATTTCTGGTAACTAACAGGCAATGATGTCAGGGAAAGTATTAAGGGATGTTGTTAGAAATAATTGTAATGTAAATGTGAGGAATGGTGAGTGAACGAAAACTTGACACTGGCACGGACCGAACCTGCGACCTTCGAATACTTGCCCTAACGGCAACAGGCGGCGCTGACTAACACGCTCCCGCGTTTAAATGCCCACGTCCTATATAGAGGGATGATAGAGATGGATAGATGAATGACCGCCACCGCAGCTCAGTGTTAAAGCATCGGAGGCGTATTCGTAGGTAGCAGGTTCGGTCCACGACAGCGTAAATTATCTTTCGTCTACTTTTCTTTATACGCATTGAAATTACAATCACTTCTAGTAACATCCCCTATACTTTCTTTGGCATCATTGTCTGTTAGTTATAATTAATATTGTGTCTAACAAAAAGAAATAAAAAACGGGCCCTTAAATTTACACTGAAATTTTCCTGAGGGGAACTTCAGACCAAACTGTTCAACCCACAGTATTCTGTAAAAGACAACGTAAGCTTGTCCGTATTTATACCAACTGACGTCATTGAGACGTCCTCTGTGAGCAACGTAATACGACCCGCGTTTGTCTGTAAAAGGTTGCTTGCTTTTCGTGTTTTATTTTCCCTCATCCTTCTTACCTCTTTGCCTGTCCTGCCATACATGTTACCAATGGCTAAACATGCGTGCAGTTTTCCTCCTTCGCTGTCCAAAGACTTTCAACCGGAAGGCAAATAATTAACAGACTCAGAAATTGGCGGATGTGGACATACGTGAGAGGAATTTGTGTTTGTCTGATAGCTCTCACCTACTAGAGAGCACATTTGAAAATGCCGGGTACTTTTAAAAACAACACTGCATCTATGCAAGCCACATGCTGTATACACTGAAAAAGTGGTGTGGCTAATTGTTTTGAGCTAAGTATATGACCAGCAAATGGTTAGGAAGCAACAGCTCTGTCTGACGGCAAGTATTTCCCACTTTTTGCTCAGCAGACTGTAGAAACTAGGCTCTTCTGTATGTGCATTGTATTGTACACTGTGTTGCAAACTGTTCTATACATAGACTGTGGCGGAAGCTGCCAAGTTCTTCAAAAACCTTTATCAGAGCGATTGTGATATTTTTGCACTGCTTTACCTTAATTTATTTGTATATGAATCAGCACTGTTCGCCTTCACTGAGAGCCGTTTCCCAGTTCTAGTGCTATGTGCCTTTCCACTTTATGATTATTTTTACTTGATGCTGTATTTTCTACTCTGCATTTACGCAGTGTTCATTTTTCCCCCTTTTATGCACGGCACACTCGCGGTAACTAAACTTCGTTTTTTTTTTTCCTCTTGGGAGAATTGAGAACAATAACAACATATAAAACACAAGAGCTGTAAGCGAAATAACACTTTATGAAATCCTCTTGCGAAAAAAAATAACATACAACAATCAAAGCACTCGTACAGTCATACGTAGAATGTTGGCCGCTTTCTTCCGCTGACGTCAGCGCACACGTGTAACGCGACGCGTTTTTTGTTTGTTTTTCCCACTGGTAGAAACCATTTGAGACTTCTAACAGAAACCAGCGGCGTCGTCACCGTTGCAGTTAAACCGTCGTCAAGGGTATATCTAATGGAAGTGTGTCTCAACATGGCACTGAAACGAACGAACAACGCTTTCGATTGTCGTTGCTAGGCCACTGCGCTGAGAGCCACTTGCATCACGTGCTTCGCGGCCAATACGACATATACGTGAGCGTTATCAACGGCTTAAGTGCAGAGCAGTGCACAGCATGCAGTAATATTTACAGGGTATGCAGTGCACTTACGAGTGCGCTGCAGCTTAGTGCCGCACGTACCTTGGCGAGGTCTATATTTTGAAAAATTGTACATTACTCCGAGAAACTTTAAGATGAGAAAAGCTTCGGGCAGCGGTGGTGCAGAACATTAAAGCAGAGCCTCCTAAATCGCTTGTCTCTCTCTCGAATATTTTTAGGTTGGAAAAGAATGTTCACTTTCGGGCTATTTGAAAGTTCTTTTTAAGAAAAAAAATGCACTCAGCATCATCTCCTTTCGCTGCCATCGTGTTTCGGTGGTGGAAGCTGTGAGACATACGTTCTGATGCGACGCCCCTATAGTGAGTCCATCTTATAGAGAGCGTTGAGAAAACTTGCATAATATTTTTGTTACTTCCCCGGAACGAATACACTCGACTGTTAACAGCTACGTGTTTCTGAAGCATACAGCAAATTCTGGGCCTCCCTTGTGCCTGCACACTCTCTTGTTACTTATGTGTTTTAGCTCCTGGACTTGTTCAGGCGTATTGCCCCGATCGCTTCTTTGATAATGCGAACAGGAATTCGGGCTCTTCCGAACGACTTTTACGGATGGACTGAGACGACACGACAGATGCATTGCCTTCACGCATTGCCCGACCACTGATCGCGATCCGTAGCACTTGGGGGACATGACAGATGCTCCGGAACTGCGGCCTTGTCAAAGGGGCGACGTTAGAAGAAAAATTATACGACACTAGTTTGCTGGCGACTTGGTGTGAGCTGATCGACCGCGTTCTGTGTAACCGCAGCATCGCACCATTGACACGGCCACTGCGCGTGAATAGAGCGGAGAGTCTCACGACATGTGTTCTCGTGATCTCACGTGCGCATTTCACGGTTCACCACTCATCGTCCCAAGGTTGGTCGCGGCCGGCCTCCGAAAAGCGGGGGTCGTGGTCTGGACCCGAAGCGATTCCTGCCGTGTGCCGGCTTGCTTTCTGGAGTGACGGCGGGCGCCTCCGTGGCGTGGCTATCTTCAGACGTGGCCTCCGACTCGGACGCAGCTGCCGCTGTTTCCTCGTGCTTGGAGGCCGTCTCCGTGGATGCTGCCGAAGCCTCTTCCTTGTTCTCTGGCGTGGTCGCTGGCGAAGACTCCTCGTTCTCTTCTGGCTTCTCTTCCTCTTCGACCTTCTTGTGACCAGGGCGGTGGCGGGTGAACGGCGTGCGGGGCCTGGAACCGCGGTTGGTGCGTCCGAACAGGGCTCCCGAACTGGGCCGGGCTACCGGCCTTTTCGGTGCCGCCGTTGTCGAAGACGCCGTCGCCGTGCTAGAACCCCTCGTCCTCGAAGACTTTCCACCGAAGCGACTGCCACCACCGAAGCGCTTCTTGCCATTGCTTGTAGATGCAGCAGTGGTGGTTGTTGGCTCTGCGTCCGCTGGGGACGACGCGCCCTCCTCTTCCTCGGGCTCTTCCTCCTTCTGGTGCCTCGAGTGGATTGGCGAAGGACGCCGGCCGAACTGGAGCCTGCTAGATGGTGATCGTGGCGTCGGTCGGTTGCGTCGCAGTCCTCCGAGCAGTCTCCGCGTGGATGATGTAGCCGGCGTCGTCGTTGTGGAAGTAGTGTGAGACTTGCGAGAACCGGGCCCTCTAATGTGAGGACCGGCCCCGTGCGCTCCTCCGAACCGCCTCCGGTTGCCGAAAGGCCTCTTCGTCTTCTCAGTCGTGGTCGTTGGCTCCTCAGTTGTGGTTGTCGTTGGAGCCAGTGTTGTTGGTGGCTCCGTTGTCGAGGTGGTTGTTGTCGGAGTAGTAGTCTCAGCAGATGTAGTTAAAAGGTCGGCTCCTTTCCTGCCACTGATCTCGTTAACTACGTGCGTGTCCGTTGACGGTGGCACCGTGGACACGGACGAACCCTGAGGTGTGACAAGTCCGCGCACGTCAGGTGCAGGACCGAGCAGGACACCGGGATCCGGCACCAACTTCGCTCCTGTGAACTCTAAGCTCGGTGGGCCCGCAAGTGGCGGACGCTTGGCCTCAAACGGTTGACTTGGAAGCAAGGCGTGTGTTCCTTCGGAGACAGACACTGACACTGAGACTTGGGTGACAGTCTGTGGAGCGGTCGTGACACCTTGTTCCAGAGGGAAAGCAGGAGGTGGCGCTGGTTGCTGCCCTGATGGAGGGCTCGTCGTAACTGTCTTGGGCTCAAACCTGTTCTGCGGGTTAGGCGAAGCCAGCCTTTGAGTGGAACTCTTACCCTTCAGCTTAGAGCCGTCGGTCTTGTCGAAACCTTCAAGACTGGGAACGTCGTCGAAATTCAGAGACAGATTGTTCTTCTTGTTGTCGTCATCGTAGTAGTAGTAGTAGTAAACCACGTACTCATCTTTGTCTTTGTCTTTGCCTTTGGCAGCCTTGTCTTTGGCTTCAGCTTGTTTGCTCGACTCTATTTCGGAGGCCGGTGACTTCTGGATCACCTGAGCTGGTGGCTGAATAGAACCGACGATCTTACCTTGTCTCAGTGCATCCTCAGATGACGAAGATGAGGACACTGAGAACGAGTGTCTAGGAAACGACTGAAACGCCGGAGGTGGCTGCGGTGTAGTCGATGGCGTAACGGCTGCTTGTTGCGGGAACGCGAAGGCTACGTTGGCCTGCTGGTTTCCGTCGGAAAAGCTAAACTGCTGGCGCTGTTGAGGAACCTGTTGCTGATGCTGCTGAGGAAACTGCTGCTGTTGCTGCTGCGAATTGATAAACTGCTGCTGCGGGGGCGGCTGTTGCTGACGGTGCTGTTGTTGATTGTTGAACACATGCTGCTGCTGAAACTGTTGTTGCGGCTGTTGAATTGATATTTGTGGCTGGTGTTGCGGGTTCTGTTGCTGGAACTGCCTAAACTGTTGTTGCTGCTGTTGTTGCTGCTGTTGCTGGTATTGCTGCTGAAGCAAAAGTTGTTGCGGGGACAGCGGCTGTTGTTGTGGTTGCTGCTGGCGGTTGAACTGGAATTGCAGCAGCTGCTGCTGCTGCTGCGGCTGCTGAGGATGCTGCTGCGGCTGTTGCTGTGGTAGCTGTTGCTGGAATTGGTGCTGGGGTTGATTGCGCACTGAGAACTGAGGCGGTGGCGGGGACTGCTGCGCAGGTTGGGCGAAGTCGTTCGCGAACCGGATCGGGCTGTTGGGTGGCTGGGGCCCTGCAGGAGGGTTTGCGTTAGGCGGCAGCGCCCGCACGAACACGCTGTAGTTGGGGTCGTGCGAAGGATCTTGCGGCGGCCTTGACTGGCGTTGCACTCGCGCCAGGTCTTCAGCCATGCCTGGCGCCGACAGCACCGCGGCAGCCATCGCCACCAGGGCCCACCTGCGCAGAGATGATACACGCTGTAGAGGACAATTCACACGAATTATTAATTAGTTAAAAACTGCTTAATCGCTTTTACGGTTAACTTACTTTATGCCCTTGTCCCGATTAACGACGCTGGCCTGCCTGTTGTGTATCACAAATGTTATGCACAAGCAGAAATTTGTCAACCCCGGCCGTTTTGGGTCCTACCTTAAGCGTTGATTTAGCTGTGTGCGTTCAGAAAGATGATGTGCCATTTTCTGCTAACCATACAATAAAATAAAAGATTTTACTCATCTCAGCACACCTTGAAGATGCCGCAGGCTTTTTTTTTATACTGGATTCTAGGTGCCTCAACGTTACTTCACCTGCTGAATAAACTCGATGGCACTATGTTGCTTTGCTATACTCTCGAAATTACGTAGTCGTGGTAGACAGAGAACATATACGCTCTCGTAATGTCTATCGCTTCAAAATGCTGGCTACATACAGTAAGTTAGAGGACGCGGGATCGATTTCCACACACAAGCGAAAAAGTTTGATGGAGGTGGAATGAAAGATGGTAAGAACTCTCCATAATCATATCTGGACTTTGCCATGTAAAACCCTAGAACGTAACTCTTTTCTCTTTACTATGGTTATGCTGCTTACTTCAACACAGGGGCGTAGGCGGAAATTTTTCCGGATTGGGGGGGGGGGGCATCTCTTTAAATTCGGGGGCGGCGAGGGGGGAACATACTTGAAAATTTTCTTGCTGTGTATGCGATGGCGCAAAAAATTGAGGGTGTGTGGGGGGGGGGGGGGCACGGGGCTGGTGAGCCACCCCCTGACTACGTCACTGCTTCAATAGTACAGCGCCCCTCCTCTGTTACTTGTGAAGCACCGTGGTTGGCATAAATTCCTAACAATACACCGTTGTGCTGACAAGAAACCAGCAGCCTGTAACTTAATAACAGGTACGGGCACAAAAAAAAATTGACATTCTTTTTTACCGGGTACATTTTAAATGCAACTGTACGCTACATTACACCTGTCGGAAGGTGAGTTTACACCTGTCGGAGCGTGAGCGTAGTTTGTATAGAGAGTAGTTCAAAGGCGCTGGAATAAAATGCGTAGACTACCTTTAAATAATGCATATACTATTCAGAGTTCATAAAAGTGAATCCATGAGTAAACTGTAGGCAATATGGATAAATGTAGAAGTCTTTAAATAGCCCACAAAAAGTTCTATCCAAAAAGAACCTAGTCCATAAAGTTCTCACATTTATTATGAGCAATTGAAATTATATTGCTTATGAATAACTTCGTTGAAAGAACTACTATGCGCGCAGCGTGTGCTTGAGCTCAATATTATTGTGGGTCCGTGTGAATATCGGTGACTTCCCGCGTATCATTGTGATACTAAACGGTGTTTCGTGCGCTTACAGTGGACGATGAATTTTAATGACTTCATCGAAGCGTTTCCGCGACTTCGATCAATTAGTCAATCGAAAATTTTATTCCCCTAGGCATAAGCACAATTGTACGAATAAAATAGACCGGCCACTTTATTCTCGTACGAGGGTCTCTTCGATTGCGATATGTTATCGCGAAATGTAAGATTGGGAGACACCGGCAAAGCATGGTAAACATGGGCAGTGTATTGATTCAGTACTGCACACAAACATCAATAAAAATGCTCTCCGTAGACGTATTGCGGCAGCAAGCAATCAGCCGCACGAATGCGTAGCGTATAACCTTCGCGATCTTGTTTACATGATCGTTACGACACGAACAATCGAAGAGCACGTGTGGGCTGCTGTTCGGGCGACCTTGCGCGACCGTCCGTCGGGCGTACAGCGCGGGCAAACATCGAACATTTCGTTTGCGCCACCCTTGAACGTTTGTGAATAAGAAGGCAAACAAAGACTGAAAGGAAGTTCAGCTCCGTCTAAGACCGCGCAGTCCGGCATATGTGTACATTCACGCGTGATGGCCTCATTCAAATTGCGCTCGCACGAAGCCGAGACAACTGCCATTGTTTCAACGTGAACGCTTTGCAGGGAATAATTATTGCGACACAATGCCTCGAGCCAAGGATTTTCTTATGTTTCTTTTATTTTTCTCCCGAGAATCCTTGGAATTCGCGTTTAACTTCCGAGAGCAACGACGGCGGTATGCCGCCATTGCTGAAACGTCGTGTACGCCTACACACGATGACGCAAGATGTAAGCCGTTCTCGACGATTCATTCTTTTTCGTGCCTTTATTCAACGGCTTTGAACCGAGTTTGTTGGCTGAGACTTAACGAGACACGTTGCTGGAACGGCAGTTGAATGTTTCTCCGCGCACGTAACTGTAATGTTTATTGGAGCACTGTCTGTGCGTGTGGATGTGTTATAGTTGTCGTGTGATGGTCGTTTTTTTTTTTTTTCAACATAACTGCTCCCGAAATCAGACAAATGTTTCTGGCGCTGCGTCGGTTGGTGTTTCTTTCTTTTTTAATGACCGTCTTTGAAGTCGGGGCTGACCGCAGCTCAAATGTTTTTGCAGACACGAGCACAATATAATGGCCGTGTTCCTTTGTTTTTTTTTTCACTTCGACGTATCTGAGCACGTTTCGCAGTACATTCGGAGTGCACATGTCCGTCGCTTCTGTTGGATTCCTCACGCTGCACTGATGTCCGCTGTGTCTGTAGCTGTAAATGTATACTTGTGCAGCTTATCATGTGGTGTGTGTATACAAGCAGTTAGAAGCAGTTACTGTGCATCACGCTGTTAAAATTATTTCGAGACGACGTCCGGAACGGCTGTAGCCAGGTCATATTTATATCCAGACGTGCGAGAGCAAAAGCGTCCTAGCCCGCGTGACAAACGATCATGATCATTATTGATTGATATGTGGGGTTTAACGTCCCAAAACCACCATATGATTATAAGAGACGCCGTAGTGGAGGGCTCTGGAAATTTCGACTACCTGGGGTTCTTTAACGTGCGTGCACCCAAATCTGAGCACGCGGGCCTACAACATTTCCGCCTCCATCAGAAATGCAGCCGCCGCAGCCGGGATTCGATTCGGCGACCTGCGGGTCAGCAGCCGAGTGCCTTAGCCACTAGACCACCGCGGTGGGGCATGATGATCATTACAAGGGTTTGCTTATGCAGATAAAGTACATAGCGCTCACACTGTTTCTCTACATTCCGTACGGCTCGTAAAGCTCCCACAAACAAATGCTTCCTTCGGAAGGCATTGCGACAAAATTGAGTATTGCCGATGGTAGAAGATTTTCAGCCGCTCGAGATGACAGAACTCTTTCTTGTAGTCCTCTGTTTTGTTTACTTGATTAACGCTATATGATAGCCTCCCACCTGTGTCGGTGTTACAAACACACAAACATGGCTGGCTGTCGCTTGATCGACAAAAATATGCCAACGGAAGCTGTTCCATTTTGTCTAACTTATCAACCAACAAACCGCGACCATTAATTTGACTCGCATGCTTTTCTGAAGTACACGGCAGGATATTTTATTGAAAGGCCTTGAGATTCTTTATTTGGGACTTACAGATCATTTTCACGTACAGTACTGCGGCTCAAATAGCAAAGTATTTCAACCGACACGCGAGCGGTAGTGAGCGCAGTTCCGTTCTGCGCAGTGAGATATATAGTGAACAGAAACTGAAAACTTGCGCACATTATGTAGAATAGCGCGTGCCATTGAAGAACGTCGACATTTTTTGTGATCATTTTTTTTAAATAGTGCATCATGTGCAACGGCTCGCTTTTCCCCAAATTCGTCATCGCACTCGTGGTGTCACTGCTTCAACGTATCCGCTGTGCGCCCTCGCCCGACTTGGTGTTTGTACTTTGTCGTTATCGTGGCACGTCAGTGCAAAAGTCATTGCAGCCTGTAATCATGACGGTGCATATCGCATGTTCACCTATATATATAGGCTTCAGCTTCGTTTCACGTTCTTTCTCTCTCTCTCTCTTTGCCGTCTGCACCGCATCTAAGTGAAGCCTCCCAAGACAAGTGTCACCTGACATGCCAAAAAAGGTGTAGGAGTCCCGCTCGGTTCCTTGCACTCATCTGTCGGGACCCTGTAACGGCGCCACCATGTTCACTCATTTGCCGGTACTCATTTCCCTCGAGATAGGTAATAGTGTACTTCAAGTTGTAAAATACTTTGTCTATTAGGGCAGGTAATAACTGCGGAGCCCAATCACGAGATTGAAGTAACTAGAAGAATAAGAATGGGGTGGAACACATTTGGCAAGCGCTCTCAAATCTTGACAGGTAGATTGCCACTAGCCCTCAAAGAGGAAGGTATATAACTGCTGTATCTTGCCGGTATACTTTGCTATGGAGCAGAAACATGGAGGCTCACAAAGAGGGTTCAGCTTAAATGGACGACGACGCAGCGAGCAATGGAAAGAAAAATGGTAGGTGTAAACTTAAAAGACAAGAAAAGAGCAGAGTGGATTATAGGGAACAAACGGGGGTTAAGGATATCATAGTTCAAATCAAGAAGAGGAAATGGACATGGGCCGGGCATGTAGCACGTAGACAGGACAACCACTGGTCATTAAGGGTAACTAACTGGATTCCCAGAGAAGGCAAGCGGGTTAGAAGGAGACAGAAGGTTAGGTGGGCAGATGAGATTAAGAAGTTTCGGGTATAAATTCGCAGCAGCAAGCACAGGACCGACTTGACTGGCGGAACATGGGAGAGGCCTTTGTCCTGCAGTGGACGTAGTCAGGCTGTTGATGATGCCCCGCCACGGTGGTCTAGTGGCTAAGGTACTCGGATGCTGACCCGCAGGTCGCGGGTTTTATTCCCGGCTGCGGCGGCTGCATTTTCGATGGAGGCGGAAATGTTGTAGACCCGTGTGCTCAGATTTGGGCGCACGTTAAAGAACCCCAGGTGGTCAAAATTTTCGGAGCCCTCCACTACGGCGTCTCTCATAATCATATGGTGGTTTTGGGACGTTAAACCCCACAAATCAGGCTGTTGATGATTATGATGATGATTTCCCTTGAA